GCTGGGATTACAGGCGCCCGCCACCACACCCAGCCTCAGTGCTGTCCCAGCACGCCCCGGTGGCAGGGCCGGCATGGGCGCTGGGGTTTCCCTGTGCCTAAGCAGGCACTTTAGTCCACTGAGCCATCTGGCCGGCCCTCAGATTACTCTTTTGAAAGTGGGAAACTATTGATGCCGGAGAGAGACTTGCAGCCCTTAAAGTGTGTTTCTTCTTAGTCATATCTGCCCAAGACACCAACTAATTTTATATGTAGATTTTATCAACTGTGGTTAATTCTCACATTGTATAGTTTATTTGACCATTTTCTGATACTCATAAAATGTTTCCCTGTCTTTTCCCATTTAGATGTTCCTTAATGGATTATAGTAAATCATCAATCCTTTTTTTCAAAAATGATGAGAAAATCTGAAGTCTGCTACTAACCATATTTATTATAGTTTTAAAATTGTATAATCTATATGCACTTGCTACCACAAGAATAACTAAAAATGCTCAATGTTAATATAATTACCCAATAAAGAACTTGTGTCCTCAATCAGTAATGTTGTCTCAGTTGCCTGTACACATTGTAACCTTGGCTTTCTGTCCCATCCATGAGGGACAGTGCAGACATGGCCTCCCCTCGCTGTTAAGCAAAGCAGCGGTTAGCTTAAATCCTGTTTCCTCCATGTAAAGAGTATCAGCCTTTAGAACACCGGCCTCAGGCAGTACTTACGTGCTGTAGTTGCAGTGGGCATCAGACTGGTCATACAGGGAATCCCCGCGGGGTGGGCCCAGGCGAGAGGGCCCTGGTGCGCCAGACCCAAAGGGACAGAGTGCATGGAGCCCGGCGGCCGCCGAGGCCGGGAGCTGCCCACGCCGCGCACACGGAAGCCCCGCCCCCTCCAGCCAGCGCCCCGCCCCGTGGGAGTGGAAGGAGTGGAAGGGGAGCTCTCGCAGGGCGGTGCCACGCAGGCCCTGAGGGGAGACGGTCCGGCTGGGAGGGGGGAGAGAGCGCAGTGCTTAGGAGGCCGTCTTGACGACTGAAGCAGTGAATCCTGAAAGGACTTCGGTTCCCTGGAGGTGAGAAGTGCCAGGGCCAGCGGACGGGCTGGCTCGACAGGGACAGCCGCTGCTGGAGGCTGGGGGGCCTCGCCATCCAGGACAGGAACGGAGAAATGGCAAAGTGGCACGACGTGTTTCTGCTCTTTTTGGTGTTTATAGTGCCTATCGTTTCTCCTCTTTTTTTTTTCCTTTAAGAACAGTACATTTAAGGGCTGGGGAGATAGCTAAGTAGAATAAGCACTTGCCTGGCAAGCACAAGGTCCTGAGTTCAGTCCCCAGTACTGGAAAAAAACACCAGTAGAAAAAAAAAAAAAAAACCAAAACAGTACATTTAATACATTCATAAGAATCCAAATTAAAAACATTTTCACATATGTCTTTCTTGTTGGACAATACAGAAAACAGTGTTTCAAATTTTCTATTTAACAAGAAAAAGATGCAATCTCTGCTTGACATAACAAATTTAAAACATAAAACCTATGGGGTAATTTTATTTGCTTGTGTCCTGTCTTTTTGAGAAAAGCTCTCGCTATGCAGCTCAGGCTGGCTTTAAGCTCACTTTGTAGCCTCGGCCGGTCTTGAACTCGCAGCAGTCCTCCTGCCTCAGCCTCCTGAGTGCGGGGACTGTAGGGATGTGCCACCACACCCCACATAACCTATGTTCACTGAACTGCTGCACCAGCTCCAGCCCCGTAGGCCCGGGCAGTGTCCACACCCCCAGGGGACCTCCGGCTCTCCATGAAGCGTGAGAGAAAATCAGAATCCTACAGGGAGCTCCTCGGCCCCCCGTAAGGAGCGCCCTCAGTGCTGACCTCCAGAGCCCAGCACTGCTAGTTGTTTCTCCTTTTAAGCTTAAGCAGCTGTTTGGAAGTCCAGTTTACTGTGTGTCACTGGAGATTTGTGCCTGATGCTAACTGTCCCATCTCCTTTGGGGATCTGCGTGTGTCATGAGCTGAGTCCTTTATGAGAAAGTAAGTCAGGCACAAGGGCACACACTCGGAGTCTCAGCTGCTTGCCAGGCCGATACAGGAGGGTCCCTAGTCCAAGGCTAGCCGGGGTAACTTTTCTGTTCTTTGAGACTGGGTTTCACTCTGTAACTCAAACTAGGCTTAAACTCACTATGTAGTCCACTCTGTCCTTTTCCCTGGTAACCCTCCTGCCTCAGCCTTCTAAATGTTGGGAATACAGGTGTGTGCCACCACACCAGCCTAGCCTGGGTAACTTAGCAAGACCTTGTCTCAAAGATTTCTATAACCCTTTTCTCAAAGGGTTGGGAAGCTGGGCATAGTGGTGCACATCTGTAATCTCAACACTTAGAGGCTGAGGAAGGATGATTACTGTGAGTTTGAGGCCAGTCTGGGCTACATAACAAGACACTATCAAGGAAAAAAAAATACAGTATGTGACCATATATATATATATATATATTTTTTTTTTTTTTTCAATAGTTGTTACTTTAAAAAGTATGGTTTAAGGGCTGGTGAGATAGTTCAGCGGACTAAGCGTCTGCCTTGGCAAACAGGGTTCAACCCTGGTCCCACATTGCTGCGCTGGCCCCACCCCTGGGGCGCGCTGAGCCAGCAAATGAGTCCAGGAATGGTGATGCACAACTGTAACCCCAGTGCTGAGGAGGCTGAAAATAGGAGGAACACTATGAGTCGGAGCTACATAGTGAGACTACCAAATAATATAATTTTTTTAAAAAGTATGGTTTAACTAAGAAGAATATATGCAGTGTATTATTTGTTGAAACTGTACTTTTGATTTGATTTGAAACTGTCTCATTGCTATATGTTTATCAATAAAACTTTGAAAAGAAAAAAAATTAAAAAAAAATAAAATAAAAAAATAAAAAGTATGGTTTAGCTCAAGAATGACCCCCAAAACTCACATGTGCTCTGAGGCAGGGCTGAGGGCAGGTGGTTGGAGCTGGGGGACCCACAGCTCACTCGGCTGGGTGGTGGCCCTGATTAGCTGAGGGTTGCTGCAGCGAGGCCTGGCCTGGGCCTGCGCTTCTAGCTTCCTGGCTGTGGTACCCGCGAGCCACTTTCCTCAGCCCCTCTGACCTGTCCCCCAACCTCCTCTAAGTTGCAAATGACAGGTTTTTTGTCAGTGACAAAACGATAAGGCTGGGCTGGGGCCGTAGCTCCTCAGCATAAGTGCCTGGCACGTGCAAGCTCCCAAGCTCGAGCCCCAGTACTGTAGAAAAGAAAAATGGCAGGACAATGTTGTGCAGCTGGGTGGCGGTGGGCTCGACCGTGCAGCACTGCCAGTGTTCCCACCGTAAATCTGAATTGTTCACTTTACAGGGGTTAATTCTAACCCGAAGAACAAAAGCAAGCCAGAATTTGGGGGTGGAGTAAACCTCTATTTTTCTATTTCTCTTGCTACTTACGACTCAAAACCCCGCGCACAGGCGGAAGTAGAGAAATAATGAGTCCCAGACCCGGATCTCAAGAAGCCGGAAGGCTGTGCGCTCCAATGGGCACAGCTGGAGAAAGCCCCCAGAGGGCTCTCTTGAGCCAGGGCCTAGACAAGAGGCAGCCTGCCAAGCAAGAACTGTCCTGCTTCGCCCCAGGAAGGCCAGCAGCCCCGCCCTGTGGCAGCACACTTAAGCACAAACAGGTAAGTTTAGCAGGCACGGTGGCACGCTCTACACTCTGGGAGGCTGAGGCAGGAGGGTCCTGAGTGTGAGCCCAGCCTGGGCAGCTTTACTAGACTGTCTTAAAATTTAAACAAGGGCTGGGAGTGTAGCTCAGCGCAAAGCTTCTGGGCTCGATCCTGACTGCTGAGGAGAACAGCACCCTGAATACCGGAAGTGAGTAAAGCTTGGAAAACTAACATGTGGGTGACGTTACCCAGAGGTCACCGGAGCTCACCACTATTTCCCGCGGAACATGCGTTTTAGTGTGGAAAGAAAATGTTTGCCTGGTAGACTGTTCTCGGTTTACAGAGTTTTTGTTAGACATTTTTTAAATGACTTTTTAAAATATAAAAACAAAATTTAGGGTCACAATATACTTTGGCGGGGGGTGTTGGCTTTTGAGACAAGGTTTTGCTGTGTGTTGGAAACCAGATCCTGGAATGAACAATCATGAGGTACATGTGGTAACGTGCCCAGCTCCTTGGCCTGCAGTCTGAGCAATGGGCTCACCTGCATTCCCAGGGCTTGAGCAAAGAGCTCACTGTGTTCCCAGGGCTCTGAAATGTGTGGTTTCGAGGGCAGCCAATAGCTCAGCGGACTAAAGCGCCCCCAGGGTGCGCCGAGACAGCAATTGAGACTGGGCGAGGTACTGTGCGCCTGTAATCCCAGCTCGAGGGAGGCTTGGGACTCAGAGGCGGATCACTGAATCCCATCTAGTCGTGAGACCCTGAACACCCTGTAGACCCCTCCCTAAAACCAGTACTATTCTGGACTACTGGACTCTTTTAGAATATTTTGCTGAGTTAACACACCTATGATATTCAAATAACGGAACTAAACAAAAAAGGGGATACAGATGAATGTTCATTTTGTATGTGTATTCAAAGTGGTTAGGATAGATATATAGTTACATTCTCTTAATGAATAGACGGATTTGTCCTAATAGTGTCTGCAAATAAGATACCATGTCCGCATCTTATACAGCAAATAACCACTAGGAAGACAATATGCAATGTGTTAATTATTATTTTTTAAAAAAATTTTTATTTATTTGTGTGTGTATGTGTGTGTGGCCAGCTCAGCCCACCAGGGGGCGGGGCTGGCTGGCATGTGGTGCTGGGGGATTGAGCTGTCGGTCCCTGTGCTTTGCTAAGCTTGTTCTAAGTAGGTGCTTTAGACCACTGAGCCATCTCACCAGCCCCAATGTGTTAATTATTGAAACTCCTACCAATTTGGTTTGAAACTGTCTCATTACTATTTGTTTCTCAGTAAAATTATGGGAAAAAAAGGATTAAAATACCAAAATAAATAAATAAATAAATAAATAAAACGTGTGGTCTCCTCTTTATTAGTTTGGCCTTGGTAGGCTCTTCCGTTCCCAGGGAAACAGAGAAGGCTTAGAGTTAACTAAGGCATTGGGCACTTGTTCAGGACTTTCAATATATAACTCTAAAATAAACATAACTGCCCAGCCAACAGCTTCGTCCTCCCAACCCGGGGTTTCTTTTCTTCTCCGTCTTGCCTCTAGCCTGTTCCCCTCTGAGGGTTGGACCCCCCACGGCTACGTAGTGCAGGCTGGACTTGAATCTACTTAGTAGGCCTGGCTAGCCTCAAACTGGAATCAGTCCTGCCTCCGTCTCTCAAGCACTGGGGTAACAGGTACACCACCAAGGCCAGCCACAATATAATTTTTAGT